TTTATGATCATTAACATGACGTTAGCCTTGAATTGCTAACATCATTTTAACCCTTTAAAGCCTGATACGAGGATAAAACATGTCCTAACTAGGGTTGTCAAAAGTATCGATACTCAAATAAGTATAGATGCTAAAACGGTGTATCTGGATACGATACTCATTTTCAAAAGTATGGATACCCTCTTCTCTCTGATTTATTTATTTATTTACGTTGGATATGATCATTAACATGACATTAGCCTTGAATTGCTAACATCATTTTAACCCTTTAAAGCCTGATACGAGGATAAAACATGTCCCAACTAGGGTGGTCAAAAGTATCGATACTCAAATGAGTATAGATGCTAAAACGTTGTATCCGGATACGATACCCATTTTCAAAAGTATCGATAACCCCCCCTTCTCTCTGATTTATTTATTTACGTTGTTTATGATCATTAATTAAATCACTAAAATTTTCAACTCGATACCGATACTCAGGAAAATATTCGATATCATTTTCGATACCACAAGGATAAAAACAAAGACCGCAAAATTTTTCTGAATTTTGACAGGTTAGTGTCTTTGGTTTCAAACTGACCTGTTACTGATGTTATGGTGGCCCACATTAATGACCCTAACCCTAACCCTAACCCTGACCCTAACCCTAACCCTGACCCTAACCCTCCACCCTTCATAATTGTTAGAAATAAATATTCCTAATTGTACAAACCTATTTAACATACCCTATTTGAACATAATATTATGTATAGAGTTTAATTCAGTGTTTACAAGATTGAAATGTTTTTAAATTAATGTCTATATTGCCATGAAGCATGTCCTATGTCCTAACTAGGGTTGTCAAAAGTATCCATACTCAAATAAGTATAGATACTAAAACGTTGTATCTGGATACTATACTCATTTTCAAAAATATCGATAACCCCCCCCTTCTCTCTGATTTATTTATTTACGTTGTTTATGATCATTAACATGACGTTAGCCTTGAATTGCTAACATCATTT